AAAACTACGTTAAATTTCAAATAAGATGTGATTGGACTTGTAAACGTTGATGAAATAAGCATTTAAGTACCCAGAATTTCGAAAATAATTCTTTTTTCAGCAAATTGCAGAAAACGTACTCCATTTAATATTATTTTATTTGTGTAATTGCTTTTTTAATTACGTTTTTCAAAGATGAAGAAATTGATGAAGGAAAGGTAAACACCGTGGTTGACGGATTGGTAAGGAAGAAAGATAAAAAAAATGAAAAACTTAAGGAAATTTTGAATGAATTTAATAAACGTGTTTTAATTTGGGTTCGAAACCGAAATACATAGTACAATTTTTTCCTTATTTACCAACACGACTGCAACTTGATTAAAGGATTATTGTATTATTATTCCTCGGAATGAAAGTTTTAAGATTCAAAACGTTTTTAGTTCATTCATTCAAAATTTCCTTTTTTTTAAATTATTATTATTATTATTAATATTTCCACATTATCAATCCGTCACCACGGTCTTTTCCTTTCCTTCATCAATTTCTTTATTTTTGAAAAAAGTAATTAAAAAGCAATTACACCACTAAAATGGAGTACGTTTTCTGAAATCTGCTGGTCTCTATGTTTGCAAATAGTAGAATCACCATATAAGTTTTTTAACATTGAATGTCCCGATAGGTCAAGTGGATAGAGCACCGAAGTCGTGGGTTCGAATCCCGCTCGTGACACTAACTTATTCATTTCAACAATTACCTTACAAAAAAAGATTTATTAATTGAAAGAAGTTATTTGGTCAATCGGACCACGAAATATAATGGATTGAAAAAATAATTATTTTTCAAAGGTATGGATACTAAAACGCTTATTTCAACAACTTTTAGTACTGATTACATCTTATTGTAAATTTAACATAGGTTTCAATAGTATCGACTGATTTGTTCAAACACCTTTTAGTTTTGAGTTATCATCGTTTATTTGAAGCAAGGTCGTGAAATATTTAAAAAATCATAAAAAGGGGAATAACTCCGAAACTGTTGAGATTCGGACCATAGTTAATTAGGACTTTTTGGTTCCATTTCGAATGTAGATTCTACTGGCAAAGTTTGTAACCAGAATAGCCGAACACCCTGTACAATATCGATATGAATTTTTACTTTCCTTATGTAGTCTTATGCAGGAATAAAGTATTTTAAAGTAATCTCTTTGTTACATTACTTAATAATCTATTTAAAATAGGAAAAATTATGAAAACCGTTTCAGGTCGACCAAGGTATATTGGGTTGTCCGGAAAATAATGCAGGATTTTGGTATTAAACAAAAAAAAAGAAACTAGTTACTTTAAAGCAATGTTCTTTAATCAAAATAATNACAAACAATATCATTTGGAAGAGGATTAATAAGTGTTGACATTCATACAAATGAGTAATCCTGTAAACGTAAACAGAATATTTTATATAGATTTTTTTTCATGAAAACTTAAAATCCTGCATTATTTTCCGGACAACCCAATAGATCTCAAGACATCCTGGATTTCAATGGATGGGCTTGACTGGGAAGTCCCGACGACTTCCTCTGCGATTTTTACCAAGTGAATCACTCTAAATGTAAAGCGACTTCCTCCTGAAGAGGAAGGAGAAAATGTTTTAAAAATATAACCTGAATTAACGTAACATTTCGCTCCATTTTTGTTAGTTTCTGGCTAATTTCCTTAATAAAATAAGCAAAATTTTATAATTGTTAACTCGCTCATCATTATTAATATATGGGAGAATTTGTTATACGACAGAACCTCCGATGCAAATGTAAAATATTGCTCATCGTGAATTGTGAATAAATAACCATTCTATGATATTGGTTTGGTTTCGACATTATTTTAAAATTTACACAGATTTTTCCTTATGATAAATTGTATCCTTTTTTTAGTTTTTATAGTAAAACAATTTTAGTACACAACGTGTATTATTTTTTTAAAAAACTAACTGACCACAAACGATCTGGAGAAGATTAGGGCAAAATGTATTTTTTGGCCGGATGATCTGCGGATTTACAAAATCAGGGATGGTAAATGGGATGGTAACCATCCCTAGCCTTTTTCAAGAAAAAACTACAATGAGAAGTATCGATAAACCACATATTGATGATAATCAAATGGAACTTTGACGTTAGAAACAGTTAAGAGATTAAAGATCGGCGGAAGTGGGCTTTGACAGATGGAGAAGGAGACAATATAACGATTTATAGCTGTCAAATCCCCTGACGGGATTACTCGGGACATTAGGGAGGGCGCAGGTATTTAGCTCTCGAGAGGAAGAGACTGTCAACCACTGCGATCCTATGAGAAAAGTAAATACTTTGGACGGATGACCATGACTGGCACGATCTCGGAAGAACCCAGTCTCCCTGGGCGGAAACGAGGATCGTAATAATTATTACTATGGGGGGCATTATAAAATAAAAGGCCTTAGCAGGAAGAAACGTGGGTCGATTGTACACCCGTCTGAGAAGGAAAGGACGAATCAGTAGGGGCTTCTTAGGATAATTCCTTCCGACTTTGCGTAGACAAAAAGCGGCTCGTCTCGGGGTTATTGTTGTTAATCTCTTTAGCCGGGATACAATACAACTCTGGTGTAGGTGACAAAAGGCCTTCCGGCTATTGTCGCTCTCTTTCAACTTTTTTCTCACCCGAAATAAAAAAAGAACGCGTTAAAAGGACGTCAATAACGTTCAAAACCTTGTAGCAAAATACAATACTCATATTTTCAGTTTGGGTTCAATAATTTCTTATATGAAAAATTTGAGCGATAAAGTCTAATACTAAATTTTATCAGCTTCTATTAAATATATAAATACTCAATTAATTATACACAATTTTTTTAAATGAAAAATTGTGTCTAATTAATTGAGTATTCTGTCCTACGTGTTTAACGAATTTAAATTTTGTTGTTACCAGATTTCCACCTTGAATTAAAAAATTTCGGACAAAAGATCTCACCTATTTGTAAATACAACAGATTACCATCAGCTTTGTACGAGCAAAATAACGGTAAAATCTTGTACTATTAAAAGTACAGTATACTCTCGCTATCCGCAGGGGATATGTACCAAGCATCACCGTGGATAACAAGAACCACAGATAATAGGAAACACCTCAAATTTCAGGCTTTGAAGCATTTTTTCTATCTTCATACCAAACAGACACTTTCTGTGCCATGTGTGCCTATCTGTGAATATAATTTATGGATTAAATGATTTATAGTTTTCATGTAAAGCGTGGTTGAGATGAAAAATTACTGTCAAGAATGGGATTTGAACCTATGACTTTCAGCTCAATACCCCGCTGCTCTAACCACTTGAGCTATCATGATTTCAGTCACCCAGGATACAAACATCATCACCTGCAAAAGTGGTTAATTTGAAAAAGTTGTAGGTTGAGTGATGAGTTGATGTCCAGCGGGACTGAAATCTCGGTAGCTTAAGTGATTGGAGCAGCAGCGTATTTTGGCGAAGATCATGGGTTCGAATCCCACTCGTGACACTAATTTTTTATCTCAACCACTCTTTACATAACCATTATAATAAATTTAAAACACCACTTTGGTTAAATAGTACTAACTAAAAACATATGAGTTATGAATGAACTTATGTTTATGTTCACATATTTCAGATTTTTTTCCTTAAGCAAAACACAATGTACGGAAACGTACATAGGACATTATTCCATGCAAGAAAACAACAACATACATAAATCAACAGGTACGCACCCATGCACAACATCGAAACAAAAGATAAAATATTATTAGGGGCCTAAAAAAGATAATACTTATAAAAAAGATAAATTAAATTCACAGTTGATGATGAATCAGCAGTTTACTCTTTCAGCTTTCTCAGAGAACATTGCTACAGGAAGCTGCTTTGTATGGTTTTTTAATGAGTGCTGGAAGTTTTGTTGAAGAGGGTCTATGATTTTAACATTCAACTTTTGAGCTAATCAAAAGATTTCTAATTTTTCTATTGCCCATATCTGGTTTTCTCCTATTTTACACTCTTATTCATCCTCGGAGAGCAAACCCGGACGAGTGAAAGTGGGGATAATGAAAGCGCGGCTAATGAGAATCTATCAATAGTGGGTATACTAATCCATTCCATACTTCCCTAATTGGCCATTCATGAGATGAATATATTATATGTTCAAAGACCAGATGTTAAAACCAAAAATTTTGTAAAATTTTAAATTGGCAGACTGAAATGAAAACAGCCCTGCCATTATTTGCAAAATTTGTTCTAATTTATTATGAAATCATAATCTTAATTTAATCTGAAATTGATCTTAAAATAATTGATTTTTAAAACATTTTTTATGGAAGGTCCATAAAATATAATGACATTATAGGAAACTTGCAAATGTTTATATTTTACTTATATCATCACACCTAAATTTTTGTGATATTTGGTCAAATGCATAAATCATGTATGTATCATGCTATATGATTGAGATAATGTAAATGTAGATCTTTATTGTTCCTTACAGAAAAAATTGTTTTTTTTTGGTCCTTAAAATTGGTGAGATACATTTTCACTTTTTAACTTTGTAACATTTTCTATAATTGAAATCCTCTTGTGGTTATTGATTTTTTTTTTTTTAGTAATTAAAGAATTACGGTTAGTTGCACTTTAAAACTACGAACGAAGTAAAACAACACTGCTTTATAAAAATACAATAACAGCTAGCCTGTAAATTAAAAAAAATCTAGTTTATCTAAGTTGTTAGACTAATTGGCTGGCCTAAATTTTTCTATATACACAATCCAGTGGCATTTTGAAGAAACGGGGTGTCAGACTCATATTTGCCACACTAGCAGTTTTGGGTTTAAATCTGAGCAGAGCCTATGGCTTTTTAATTGATTATGGTATGAAAACTGTATTGTAATATGGTTTAACCACCGAATGGGTAATATGTATATACTATACAGTGGCATTTTGTGAAACTCAGGTAATCAAATAAATAAATATTAAAACTTACGCAGAAAGTAAAGACCAATCCAGTCCTGTTGTGATGGAGCTTCAACAGACCAGGACAGTTGGGCCCAAACCGATGGCGGTTCCCTCTGTACAGAATGGACCTCTGCATGGAGCCAGGACCAGCCAGCTCCAACAGGCCTTGGCTGGTTAGGAAGAATATTTTGGTTTACATATAACCTAAAATAAAAATTAAAAATAATGTCTAATACTAATAACTTAATGATATAATACAGTGATCTTGTTTTACATTTCTATCCTGGCATCATGATGTACTGGTGTGACGCCAGATGCAAGCTCGCTGAGGTCTTCCTCATTTTCAGCAGTTGCGGCGGTCTCCTGGGATGTATCACTTGTCGCTTGAACAGGGATTTCTTCATTTCGAGGGGGGCTTCTGCCATTTCTCTCGACTCCACCCCTCTCTTCTTCGCCTTCAAGCTGGCAACACTCGTCCACCGTGACAACCTAATTCATTACCTAAAAATGAACCGGTATTTAATACCTTGTAATTAATCAAAATATGTGTGACAGTATGTAATATTTCAAGACAAGAATGTCGCAGAAATTATATTCTTAAGTTGTAGAATAATTTATAACATGTTATAGGAGGACTGCAGTAGCCGAATGATAACCACCATAATCTTGGCTTGTTGAAGCTGCAGTTGAGGGACTGATTCCCAAGATCACCCCTGCTATTTTTTTCATGCACCCCTGTCTAATAAGATCATAAGGCCATAAAATAATTCTGTTATATCATCCTTGATTCATGATTTTTCATGCTTTACATATACTTTCTATAAACCCCGAAATTCTCTTGGATTCATATTTAGTGATGTGAATTCCTAGTACTTATTAAATAGACTGTATTTTTCAAAAACAAATGATCAAAAACCCTTATACCTAATATAACAGGTTAAAGTATTTTTTCTGTAATACTCATTTAACCAACTGCTTACTTTATTTCTTTTTGATGATATTCTTATGTTAACTCTGAAATTTTCTTCAAATTTGACCAAAATTTTGACAAAATTGACCTCTTTTTGCATATTCTTAATACTTACAAATATACAGCTGTTAGCTTAAGATAATTAATCAACACTTTGTTGGATATTATTGAAGAATAGAAATAATAAAAGATACAAACATATCCACTTAGGATTATAAAATTAATTAATCCCCCTTCTCCAAATAGTTGGTAAAATGGATAAAACAAATTGCTTTTAATTACGAACAATTGACCAAATTATTATATTAATTTCTTTATTGTTGTCATAACCACTGATCAATGATGTCTCATGTTTTACACATACTTTTTATATCAACTGACTAAATTACTTTATAATTATAATTATTTTTCCCTCTTGAATCTTAGTAAAGCAAATAAAACATATAGTTATATGAAAAACCAAAATTAGCTACTGTCTGATTTATGGATGACCTGATGTTGGCATCTTCATTGTTCTATTTCTCTTAGTATACATATAATTTTATTAACAATAAAATACTTCTTGAATTATAATTAATAAATGTTTAAAGTTGATGGTGGTTGCTGCACTTCATATCCCTTCTGGGTTTAGATTTTCACTCAAACGCCTTTCAGTTTCATGCCATCTTCGCAAGGAGTAGCCCTTACTCTTGCATGAACTTATTTTTTTCATATCATATTCATGTCATCTTCACTGATCAATAATATCATACTTTGTGTTCCCTTTCTATTAACACCGAGATCTTCTTAAAGTTATGATCATTTAATCTCCTACGCATCACTTAGTACATCATATAAAATATAGTTTTCAGTGAAAAACAAAACTTATCTAATGCCTGATGGATTTATGTCTTTCTTATGATGCCATCTACAGTTTATTAACATTGTAATAAATTATACCCACCAATCCTTTGTAAAGGAAGTAAAAAATGTATTTTTCTGTGAAAAACAAACCGATCTATTTTCTGATGGGTTGATATCTTCCTTGTGGTGTTATCTTATAGATCAATTATGTTCCATCCTTTACGTTCATTTTTTTTTTATAACGTCCTATATTTATAATTATTATATCCCCTCCCCACAATAGCAAAGTAGATAAAATAGGTATTTTTCTATGAAAAACAAACTGACCTACTGAAGGATGGATTCATATCTTCCTTATGTTGTCATCTTCATTGATCTATTTCTCATGGTGTACATATAATTGACACTAAAATCCGACTCGAACTGTTTTTAATTAATGTTTAATGTTGGTGGTGGTTGTTGGTCTGTACGTTGATGAACACATGTTAAACTGATCGACACTTGGCCCCTCCCCTGGATCTGATCTGATTACTTTTGCTGGTTTAGATTTCATTCAAACTCCACACCATCTTTGATGAGGAGTAGACCTGACTGCTGCAAGAATTTAAATTTCCACCGCAATAATAAGTAGTATGTAATACGATGCATTTTCATGTGAAAAACAAATTGACCTATTGTCTGGTTTATTGATGTCCTCTTCATTAATCGTACTTCTTATGGTTTAATGTACATTTTATTAACACTGAAATTTTCTTCATGTCTTCCTTATGTTGTCATCTTTATTTATCTATGTCTCAATTTAAATATGTATATATTTTATTAAAACCGACACCCACTACTAATTGTAAATAATTAATTTTGGCCCATACACTTAGGAAAGCAGATAAAATAGGTATTTCTTTGAAAAAAAATTGACCTACTGTTTGATGAATTGATTTCTTCCGTGCTGTCATCGCACACTGTATTATAAATGTCCACTTTTTACAACCACCAATATCTTCTTATATTAATAATTATTACATCCCCTGCATGCAGCTAAAATATCTTTTCTATAAAAAAACCTTATGACAGATTCATTCATATCTTTGCTGTTGTCATCTTCATTGATATACTTCTCATAGTTTTTATATACATTTCATTAACACTGAAATCATGCAATATTTGTAAATAATTAATTTTACTCCACATTCTTACTAAAATATATAAAATGTTTAGTTTTCTATGAAAATCAAACCCATCCACTGTCTGATGGATTGATTTATTCTTTGCGTTGTTAACTCACAGATCAATTATGTTCATTTTTATAACCACTGATATCTTCTTATATTTATAATTATTTCATCCACTCTCCACCAAAGTAAAGCAGCTAAAACATGTAGTTTTCTATGAAAAACATTGACCTTTTGACAGATGCATTCATATCTTTGCTACTGTTGCCATCTTCATTGATCTATTTTTAAATTTTATTAACACTGAAATCTATACTCTTTGTAACTAATAAATTTTACTCCACAATTCTTAGCAAAGCTGATAAAATGTTTATTTTTCTATGAAAAACATATTGAACATAAAAAGATTATTGTCTTTCTTATGTTGTCATTTTCTTTTATCTATGTCTCATGATTTACATATACATTTTATTAATAGTGAAACTTTCTAATTGTAAATAATTACTTTTACTCTACAATACTTAGTAAACTACATAAAATGTCTAGTTTTCAATGAAAATATAGTGACCTATTGATGGATGGATTAACGTCTGTCTACTTTATGCTGTCATTTTCATTGATCTGTTTCACAGCTTATATATGCATAAGCACATGCACTTTGAAACCCTTCACTAATTATAAATAATTAAATTTACCCCACCATAAATCCGTAGTTTTCTAGAAAAACCAAATTGACGTACTGATGAATAATTGGTTGAATTCATGCAGGGTGGTAAAGACACCTTTTTCATTTTTTGTTCTGCCAACGTTCCGACCTTTATTCGGGTCATCTTCAGGGCATTAGGTGTGATGCTATTCTTGCGGTGTCATGTTGGTTTTGTGTGAAAGTGTTTTGAGAATTGTGACAAAACCAATATGACACCACAAGAATAGTACCATTCTTTATGAGTTGAATAAAGGCTGAAATGTCGGCAAAAAAAGAAAGAGGTGTTTTTCTAAACTATCTCATTCTTGACCGCTCCTCATGAATTCAACAAATTATGAAATAACCGGTCACTAAGAAACACACATATCTACTGATGAATGTATTCATATCTTCCTTGTGTTGTCATCTTCATTAATCTGTCCCTTGGTTTACATTATACACTTCATTACTACTAAATGCTTTACTAATGGTAATTAATTACTTTTACTTCAGAATACTTAGTAAAACAGATAAAATGTTTAGTTTTCTATGAAAAACAAACTGACTTACTGATGGATGAATTAATGTCTTCTTTATGTTGGCACCTGCATTAATCTATGGCTCATGTTTAACATATATATTTTATGAATACTGAAATTCTCTTGGAATCGTAATTACATTTTTTTTTTCAATTCTTAGTTAATATGCAGTGTTCTGTTAAAAAAAACGACCAACGGTCTGCTGTTTCTTCTATTGTCAGTTGCATATTGATTTTAGTGGATGTGACATAATCAATGAATTTCTTCATTAATTAACGTTGGAAAGAGTTCCGCTTGGATATTTGCATTTAAAGTAATTAATTTCCTGACAAGAGTTGATGGAATTAGTTAAAAAAGAGATTTGGTGCCAAAACTGGGCGGACAGTTGGAGTGAGCAGGGCATGAGAAATTCAACCGTCGGTCTGCCTGATGACGGATGCCTTCGGTCGTTGATCATCAGGGCATCATCACACATACCGAAACCGTGTTGCTGCTGATGTAAAACGTCGGTACTCACGTTCGAATTTGAAGCGACAGATCGTCTTCAGCCTGGAGGATCCACTGGAACAGCCTCGAACGAAGTTCAGGAAGGCCGGCCGGGCATTTTTGACCGTATTGTGGGAAAAACAACGCCGTTAAGAGTCGAACGTAAACGATTGGGATTTTGACATTTGTGCCAAGACTTGACAGATAACTGTACACAAAACCGAGATCCGGGTGTCAGGGACGACAGTGTTGCTGCGGCTGTTCTTTAATCGGAACGGAATCCGTTACTTTTACGATATTCAATTCCAACTGATTATATTTTCTATAACATAAAACAACTATTGAGATATTGAAACACGTTTAAGTAAGAGGATATTAACATTACCTGGAGAGAAATAACCGAGAAAGAGGGAAATCTAGTGCGAGGGGCGTGTCTTCACAAACCGCCTTCTGTTCAAACTTCAAGATAGCAAGATCTAGATTCTAGGGTGTTTGCTGCCAGCAATTCATCAATAATATTAAGTGTTTTATTTTTATTTATTTTACACAGCATCGATCATCCTAATTATTATTAAGATAATATTTAGTTGTGTTGTAATTCACGTTTTTTGCACGTTCAAAATTAAATTAAAAAATCAGTATCTCATTGGAAGGTTCACGTTGGCGGTGGATATGTCCGGCGGGCTCGCTCTTATATGTCCTAACGAGACTCGAGAGTGTTGTAACTCCTTCAACACGATGATGAGCTTTAAGCTTGAAATCCGGGTCCGTACAACAAACTGTAAGTAGAACCATCATTTACACAAAATTATCTACTTACTAACACCTTCATTATTTTTGTAATATAATATTTGCCATATAAATTAAAATTTGGGACCGCGGTAGGCAAGTGGTCAAAATGTTAAACATTCAGACTGTGATGAAATATCAAGCGAACAATAATATGTTACTCTAACGCAAAAATATGGACTGTTTTACATTATCAAGTAAATTCATCTTGCTATTATTAAAGGATGGATATGGATAAGATTCAAGGTCTTGGTTGAGATGAAAAGTTTAACCGCCAAACAGATGAGGATTGATTCCAGGTTTGAAGAATGATTTGTCACTCATAAATCATGCCACACTTACCTTCTCAATGATTTAAATGTTTTTCAACATTGAATATTTTTGTAGTTTCAGGATATCTAATTTTTTTGTGTGTCTTTAACATTGAACCTATCCGGTTCCACTTATCTGCCATGTCGACAATTTAACGTTTTTCTGATGTTAGAACATTTTGTAAAACATGATTTTTTGGTATAACTCTAGAAAATTATAGATTTTTTATGAATAAGTGGCATTAAATCAACAGGATTAAACATTCTAATGGTGCATCTTGAGATTGATAAGATTGAATTTTTTTATTTAAACAATTACATTTCCATGTGTAAGTTTGTCAGTAGGTTCATTTACATGTGTCCCTTAGATGTCTCAAACCTTGGCAGGTCCACCAAATATAAAAATCTTAGGGGCTATTGACAATTCACATTGGCTCACTATTCTTTTCAGCCTTGGGAGAAAAGGATCACATTCGCCATCCCATTTGAAGTAGGTAGTTTTTGTGCCAACTGACCCGGGCCACCCCTAAAGTGCACTACTCCTTACGTCCACTTCTAATTCATAATTTCACATAATTTCGGTAGCATTGGGAAGATGTGGATAAAAACCATACATGGTAACAAATATCCCTGGAAAAGTTCACATCCTCCCCGCTTCCCGGGGATCATTTGCCCTTTGCATTTGGAGCCCGCCTCAGACCCCACCCAAGCCAACCCACACAGCACCTCCAGAACGATTCAGGCTCTTCATGCCTTAATAGCTATTATTTGCTTCAGTTTGTTTACATTTGAAAATTCGAATGATATTATAAATACCGTTCATTTTCCGAACTTATAAGACTAATAAAATTGAAGGGCTTCTGTACCTCTTAGCAACTGAAGATTCGTTCAAACATGGAATTTCTTGCAACTTCATACTTCATACTCCGGACAATCAAACATAATATGAGGCATTGTCTCAGGTTCATCACATGTTTCATAATTTGGGGAGGGTCTTAAATGAATTCTATTCAGATAAGCCCCGCATTTGCAGTGATTCGACCTAATTCTAATAATAATAAAAAACAGAAAAAAAGCTACTTAAATTCTGTCTTATAAACCTGTGAGATTACAAATGTAATGACAATTTCAAACTAAAAACTTGCTCTTAATATTTATTGTTTTAAAATTATTATTTTTACAAGATGGAATAATGGCAAATTTTTGTGTGTTGTGCCCCCCTTTTTTTAAATAAAAATATTCGAGAATGTGAGGTGTGTAGAGGTGTGCCGACTGCAATAAGACAATTTGAATCTTCTTTAACTTATAGTTATAATTTATCAATGCATATCTATCTTTCAACGAAAAGAATATAAGATGTAGGCAGTACATTACATTAATAATTGGTACATCCCTTGAAAATTTCTGCATTAGGTACTACAGTTAACTTGGAACAATTGGAAGTTACAACATACATGTAAGTTATGTTATGTGGATTATTATGTTATAGGTCCAGTTTCTTCATTTCCATGTATTTCATGATATCCAAGGGCCGATAGGAAACTTAATAAACTTGTTTTTCTAAGACTTCTTCTTAGGCTTTTAGTCTGTTATGTGAATGTAATATGTCTTATACCTAAGGGTGAATGAAAAATGTATGTTTTATGACTGCTAAGACTGACAAGGTAAATATGCTGATATTGGTGTAGTAGTCCCTGAAATGTTTAGTGCGTTAGCAATGTAAAGGTGTACGGAGAAAGGGTGATGATTGATCAATGATGGTTGGGTATATCCGAAGAACTTAGCCAAAACAAAGCACAGATTCAACTTCTCACTAATGTTTCTTTTTTAGCTCATTGCTGTTGACAGTGTAGAAAAAAGAGTACATTTTTCTTGGCAACTTTGTAAGATCTAGGAGTTGATAAATAACTAAGGGGATAATTGACATGGTTCCTTATTTTAGTAAGGTTGATGCAAATTTAAACAAAATGAATGAATGGGAAGCAATTTTATATTGTATATTGTGTTTATAGAAATGGGTCATGAGTGAGTAGATATTTTAACAGCTGCAGATTACTCCCTAGAATTTTTAATGTATATTTAGCATCCAGAAATTACCAACAAATTGAAAAGGGGCCTTAGTACAAAGGTTGTTGCATGGGCTCAAGATGAAAGCACCCAATGCAAGTTTCAGGCTTGTATTATGCAATGGGCCTATTATTTTTATAATATGGTGTACACACAATCCCATCAATACCACTATCAATTCGAGATCTCACAAGACCTTTATGTAGTCTGGGAAGACTTGGTCGCCATCTCGTACTTTAGAACATAGTGGTTTTAGATGTTCAATGATTTTGCACCGAGGCTTTACAAATTTTAAGTGACTTGACCAGTTAAGAGCCCTATCAGAGTTAGATATATTGTATCAGACAGAAATTTCCAGAAGTGAGCTTGTAGTTGTGGATGGTCATTTCTTTTCTGGAGAGAACAGCTTTGTTTTCAATGTTAAAATGCTAAAACTGAATGAAGACAGCTAAGCGAAAACTCAATTAAGAGCCTTTCAGGATATTAAAAAAAATGGGAGATGTCTGCTGAAAATGACAAAATAATCTGCCTAAAGCATGGTGTGACCAGAGTCTGCAACTGTTGTAAAATTTTATTTAGAGACATGCATAGCATTAGAATAAATATATGTGACCTTGTGGTATTCCGTTGTTTTGGATGAATTGGGAGGTCAAGGTTACATTCAAAAGTACACTCAAAGTTTTGTTATAATGAAAGAATCATTCCTGTCTCTCTCCAGATGTACTCCTAATAACCTCTTCGTACTTACCATCCTTTTAAGACTGTTTTTCTGTTTATTCAACAAATAAGGAAGAAAAAAAGAGGAGATGCCTTACACTATTGAAATAATTAATAATTCACAAAACCAAATGTTAGAAAATTCTGTATTTAAAAAACAACAAAATTATGAATTTTTATGATAGTCTTACTGAATTAAAATCTAACAATTTACATAAAACTCGTGTAAATTTTATAAATACTATTTAAATAATTAAATATAAATCTCTCTAGTTGCGGGTTTGATTTCAAATTTAATTCTACTGAAATAGTGGATTTAAGTTCGGTAGCCTGAGGTCATTAGGAAAAGCTTGCTGCTCTAGCCCAGAGTTGTCCAATGGGATCCCTGAATTGTTCTTAAAGAAATACTGTGATTCCCTGTCTGAACCTCTTTCTATTTTGTTTGGTCAATCTTTGTGAGAGGGGACCTTTCCAGAAAGATGGAAGATTAATTATGTTTCTCCCGAGCTTAAAAAAAGGTGATTATAGGAACATCAAAAACTATCGCCCTATAATAAGTGCTCTATAATAACTAAGATTATAGATTCCATAGTGGCAGACGTATTGAAACTTTCAATCAAACATTTTATGCTTCAGCAACAGCATGGTTTCTCGAAAGGACGCCCCAGTATAGCCAACTTGATTCTTTACAAGGATTTCATTCTGAATCATTTGGAAAACGGCCTTTGTTTACACGGATTCGTCTAAGGCCTTTGATAAATTAGGATCCTTTATCTTGGTGAGAAAACAGGAAAAACTAGGAGTAGACAAACATCTGGGGCGAATCGATTATTTTCGTCGGGTAGATCTGGACACTTTCTGGTCTTGGTGCGACAGTAATAATCTTAAATGAAAATAAGTGCAAGGTCATACTTTTTTCCAAGAAAAAGGTCGCGAATGAACTTGACTTGTTTGTTTACAAATTCGATGGCCATCCCATTGACGACGTCGGTTTCATCTCGGACCTTGGGGTTATTTTTAATAAGAATTGAGTTCACCTTGGAACTGTTAAGAAAAGGCATTTAAAATCTTGGGGTTTATTAAAAGGCAGACGGTAGATTTAAAAATGTATTACCATAAAAATCCTCTAACAATTACTTGTTTGTTGCCATTTAGAGTATGCAAGTATTATTTGATGATCAAACAACCCGGATCAAACACCGGATCGCTCATGATTGAGAGGGTACAATATGTACATGACAGTAGTAAGCTCCCTTACACGGATCGGTTGAATTTGATCGGATCGGACTCTTTGGGAGGCAGAAGAATTTTGCTTCGGCTTGTTCTTATGGAAGATTCTTAACAATAGGATCGATTCCCTGGAGATCATGTCCTGCATTGGTATTAGGGCCCCTATGAGCTATTCTATGTTCCCCAACACAGGACAAATTACAGGTCGGAATCTTGTGTTTCTCGGATAGTTCGGCATATTAATCGATATGGAGATGTCGCGGATCCTTTCTCTGACTCCTGCCTGTTTTCAAAAATTTTATTAGCATTGAGCCCTGTTTATTTATTTTTTGT